GTCCTTCCCATTCTATTGTTTTCCTCTATTACTTTGCACTGTTCATTCAGGAAGGCCTCCTTATCTCTCCTTGCCGTTCTCTGGAAATCTGCATTCAGTTGGGGAAATCTTTCCTTTTCGCATTTGCTTTTCGCTTTCCTTCCTTCCTCTGCTATTTGTAAAGCCTCATCAGACAGCCACTTTGCTTTCTTGCATTTCTTTTTCTTTGGGATGGTGGTGATTGCTGCCTCCTGTACAATGAATGACCCCATTACGATAATGGAAATTATGGAAGCTATACAAAAACAAAATATAGAGAAAGCGCCGGGCCCAGACAGGATACCTGCAGAATATTATAAATCACTAGAAGATTCTATCCTTATACCATACAAGAATATGATCATGACAGTTATAGAAGATGTTCTCCCTGAATCTTGGTTGGAAGCAACTATCTCACTGATTCACAAAGAAGAAACGGACCCAAAAGAAATTAAGAACTATCGACCTATCTCTCTCCTTAATTTTGATTATAAATTTTTTGTATTAATTTTAGCTACGAGACTGAAAAGAAGTTTTATAAGCCACGCTGCGCTTCAGGGGGCGGAGTTCCCCCTGGGGCCCGATTCCACGGTGGCGGAAATTGGGCCTCCAAAGCGGGGGTTTACCCGCCCCCTGCCCCCACTTGGCAGCCCTAGGGAGAATGTTGGCCCCTGATCATGTTACAAAGGGTATGAGATACCTTGCATATGCTTAAACATGCACATCCAGTAAGATGTAATGAAGAAAGATGGGACTCTTACTTAAAGTTTTATTGGTAATATTGGTATTGATGTCAAGACACACACACACAAAAGGTATTTTTCCCCGTGGAAAAATGTGTAAGAATGGTTTAAGTGACTCCTTTTTAATAATACCTGAATAAATTTACTTCTCTCTGGTGCATGAATCTTAGTGCTCATACATTACAAACATTTAGTACGATATTATGAATTATATAATATATAAATACTTCTATGTGTGTGTTTCTTCTCAGTTATAAAACCCGATTAAACCATTTTAAAATGTTAGTTAAAATGCACAATAAAAGCAATCATTGCAATACAGGTTGATAGACTATCCTAGCATAATGTACTAACAATTGTTGCCTTTTCTAGTAACTACCTACAGCCTATAATATCACAAGCATCTTTACGCATAGTTCAGTAAATACATATATACGTATATATATACACACATACACATACACACACACACACACACACACACACATATATACATACATAAAGAGTGTGAGAGAGGTAGAGGGAGACAGGAGGAAGCAAAGGTGTGAGGAACAGGATAACCATTCCGCAAGTTTCTTGCGGGTCTCCACTTGTATACACACACACACACACACTGTGCCCACAAAATATATGAACTGTAGTAAAGAACATGTGCCAGGTGCCAGGTGATTCTCTTCTGTCAGTAGTCAGAACCCTCAGCCTCTTAGCCAGCACAGAATGGTCAGAGAATCCCCTCCTCTCCTTATGGTCTTTCTGGAATCTCTTATGACTTCTATCCCACTTTTGCTTCTCTGACAGCCCTATGCAAGTCTCCTGGGTCAAGAATACCCTGGTTAGGAAAACCTATCCTTGATGTGGTCCCAGAAAGTTAGAACCTGATTTGATTCTAGATATGTTGGCTCTGTTTTTCCTGCCTTTAACTACTGTCCTTCCTTCTCTAATTAACTGCTTCCCTACCTAAGGACTACAATTTATGCTTAGTCTACCATGGGAACTTTTCACTTTGGAAAATTAAAACAGAACCACCTTACTGGTCCCTCAACCAGGCAAACCTCTGACAACATGTTAAATGAAGTTTATTCCCCCACTTATGGTCTTGTTATGAAGAGTACACATTGTACATCCTGTATTCAGTGGAAACTAATCTCTCTGTAATTAATTTCTAAGAGAAACCCAGAGACCACTGTAACATGTCAACTAGACAGCTGCCTTGGCAATTCCAATTTTTTCAACAGTGAGAACTGCAGGAATTTCCTCTCACACACCATTCTCAAAAACTGCAATTTAAGGGAACAATCCAAAGCCATGTTTCTGAATGGCTTAGAATATTAACTAAGCCCCAGGACCAGTGCCATCCTGAGATTTGCAGGTGTGATGGCGTAGTAGGCCAGTGTAACCCCAAGTGCAGGCAGTTATCATGGGTGTGCATGGGGAAAAACAAAGCTTAGATGGTGACCTAAGGCTTTCCAGTCTGTGTCCTGTGCCTAGTGCAACAATATGTCAGCAACAACCCTGATGTAAATGAAAACACCCTCATGAAACAAACACCAAAAGACCTCCCAGTATCAGTAGTACTAACAACAAGGAATAAACTGTGGAAGTCGCTAACACTTGCAAAAGGAATCTTATATTATGTATCTCTGAAAGTAACACACTGCAAACTGTACCGCACAAATATACAAGAATACAAATACAAAATAGTGCAAATAGTTCAAATTTCCGGCTTCAACTTCGTTTCACAAGTAGACTTAATCAGAAGTAATATTTAGCATGCGTTGTATGATAATTTTCTGTAGTTGCACCGATCCTTCCTAGGTTGCTACACATTTTTAAACTGGGACTAGCCCTTGTATTCCACAAAGTTTAACAGTTCTTATGACAGGCATGACTAAGTAACAACAAAATTCAGCATCAGAATGCCTAAATATTACTTCTGATGAAGTCTACTTGCGAAACGAACTTGAAGCTGCAAATTTGAACTATTTGCACTACTTTGTATTTGTATTCTTGTATATTTGTATGTTCGAGACCCGAGTGTGCCGCATGACGAAGTGAGCTCCCGTCTCTGGTTCCAGCTCCTGCCAACCTAGCAGTTTGAAAGCAAGAAATTACAAGTAGATAAATAGGTACCACTTCAGTGGGAAGGTAACAGCGTTCCGTGTGCCTTGGTGTTTAGTCATGCCGGCCACATGACCATGGAAATGTCTTCAGACAGCGCTGGCTCTTCGGCTTTGAAATGGAGATGAGCACCGCAACCCTAGAGTCGGATTTGACTGGCTTTCGAGCAAGGGAACCTTTACCTTTACCTATATTTGTGTGGTACAGTTTGCAGTGTGTTACCTTCAGAGATACATAATATAAGATTCCTTTTGCAAGTGTTAGCGACTTTCCCAGTTTATTCCTTGTTGTTAAAACCCTCATGAAAGTCATGGAGAAAGAAAATACAACTACCCTCCTGCCACACTCTCAAGGCTGATGCAGCTTAGGATACCACTACGCCCAAAGTCAACCACAGCATTGTCAAGTATTCACTTTTATCTCAGATTATATTCAATGCAGCATGAGGATATAGCTCTCTCATCACAAATCAGACACAGAGAGGAATTTGAAGGTAGGAAACTCTAGAGAAAGGGCACATCAAGCAAACAGCTGAAGAAAAGAACAAACACTGTCCAAGCATATTTCTAACATTCTTCTGCTGAGAACCCTTGAAGAACACAAAAGCTAAGTGGGAGTATCTATACTTCCACCTAGGGATGCAAGGAAATGGAATTAATAGGAGCAGGTGGCAGGAATTAACCCCCAGAATGCACAGAGGGACATCATGCATGGGGGGGTGGGTCTGCTGTGTGCGACAGCCAATCAGCATGAGACCTTGTCCCAAGGGATTTTGTTTCATGATGCTAAAACTCAGTTGTGCCTGGGATTTCCCCTGGGACTCTCTGGTAGCTAGCCCCATTTGGGATTTGAACTAGTGTCCCTGGATATCCTAGATCTTACATTTCCACTACACTGCCTTTCTCTGCCATTCTTCCTGCCCTGGGATACATAGCTGGGTTTGACACCATGGTTCTTCTGAGATTCCTAACACCATGTCAGCTGTCTGTCAACTTGAGTGCGGGGTAAGAGGACTGCTCCTGAGTGTGTAGATTCTACTCTGATCCAAAGGGGAGATTTGTTGTCAACATCCCCCTTGGTGGAATCTGAAAACTTGGCTCATGCTTGGCACATGGGTGTTTTTCCGCAATGAGATAATGAAGAAATGAGAGGAATGCTTTCTGTGAATCGGTGATCCCCCCTTTGCCTGGGAAAGGCTGGTGCTCTTACTCCTTTCTCCAAACCTGTGTCCTTGCGCAGAAGAGGTCGTGGGTGTTCTACTGGGGTTGTCTCTGCCACGTGAGCTGCAGAGGCATGTAGGGTATGTGGTTGCCATGGCCTTGGTTCCCTGTGTGTCTGCCCAGCAAAAGAAAACATAGTTGCACAAAAAGACTCAAACCTTCTCAAATATTCAAAATGATCATCAGGAGAAATATTATTTCCCCCACTTTTGTCTAGAATTCTTGTAGTACTATACTTTCCTAGTTCTTTCATATGTAATTGTGTCAGTAGTCATGATTCAGCGTTTCTCATGTACAACTTGAGCTGACTGAAATGCCACAAACAGAACTGTTGCTTAAAACACACAAGCAAATACTAGTACAATGTCACATTCTGTGAGGGTGACACTAGAAATTACATACAAACCATACAGAGTGTCTGTTTTCAGATGTTACAAGTCTTGGACCATATAGTTCCTAAAAATATTTTGAAGTCCAGAACATAGCAATTTACACAAGTAAATAAAATTGCTTTGATTATCAACCTTGGCTAAACTGGAATTAACATCACAGATGTGCATAGCCAGTATAATTTTCACAATCCCAGTAGTGTTTTTTCTGTATGTGCATATTCTTTGAAGATGAAAAATTAAGGTTGTTTTGTTTGTTTTTTTACACACCATGGCTTGGATCCCACAGAGCATTTCCACATGTGACAGGATTTCCATCCGCACAGCATGCCTTTTTCACCTCCCTCCTCTCCCAGCAGCCCAAAATGCTGCTCACAGGGGACACCCAGGAATACATGTGGGGACATCTTGGGTTGCAGAGGCAGACCAGAAAGTCATGCTGCCTCCATGGGATCTAACACTATGACTTTAAAATCATATTCACTTCTGATAAATATGGCACATTAACTCACAGATATTTTAGGTTTTCAAGGTCTTCAAATGCTCCCGTAGGTATTCTTTTTATGTGGTTGTTGTTTAGAAGTCTAGAAAGTAAAGTAAAACTATTATTTGCTTTTTCTCTCTCCTTTAGCATATTTTCTTAAAATACAACCCACCCCCCCAAAAATCTACACTTACAAATCAAGCCCCAAAATCAGAATACAGGCAGTTCATCAAAATATACCAAAAATTATAAATCAACTTGAGGAAAACTCCATTAATTTCTGCAGTGGAAATACAGTAACTCCACCTAAAGAAGGAGGCTGCTTACAGCCTTGATTGATTTCAAGCTAGAAAACTCTGAGAAGTGAAGTGCATTCAGCATCTGACACTGGGGAAAATTTCAACCATGCAGAGTGAAATCTAAGAAATTTACATACAACCTATGGCAAAAACAGGATTTTATTTTAAACCCACACTTATATTGAATTATTAGTTTAAAATGTCTGGCATTCTATCACACATATTTGAGTGAGGTGCAGGAAGAGAAAAATAATCAACTACAAAAAAGTGTGTTTCCAAGACTTCAAATGGACAACAAACGGAACCAGATTCTAAGTTATTATATTTAACAAATATTTCTACAGAACTGTGGAGATGGCATTAAATATTAAATTAACTCAGAAGGTGTGCCAAATGCGCCTTAATACAAAAGATGGCAAAACCAGACCATGAACCACTGATAGACCACTGGTCAATATCTGATGGGCGAACTGGTATTTGCTGGTTGGTGGAATTCTTCAAATAATTCTCTACCAAATGACCCTGGTCTGATCTAGAAAAACACTCTGTACATTCTGAACAAAAGGAATATTTAAAGCAAATTAGTTATGGTTTTATGTTAAGAGAGATTACACTTGTGCTTTTAATATCTAATCACAGGGATTCTTGTGAAAAAAGAAGCAGACCAAGCAAGACTGATTTCACCAGGTCTGTTCTAATGGATTTTTAATGAAAAATTATAGATAGTTAATTGTTTAAATCTATGTTTGCCTGTCTTACACACTAACATAACATTTTCCATCAAGATAAGATATCTTGTGATCCTTTGTTGTGTGGACTATAAAGTGCACATTAAGTACCAAACATATAAGGAAGGCAGAAACTGAGAATAGGCAAAAGAGGGAGATTACTTGGAATAGACACTGGACAAATTTTCACTAGCCTTCGTTAGAATAACATTGATAAATAACTTTTATGATTTGAAAATAATGAATGCTTAAAACAAAAGGCAAAGGATACTTTATGAAGGATGAAATTCAACTTACAGTGTGTTCAGATTTTTAAGCCGTCTAAATGCACCAGGCTGAATTTCTTTAATTCTATTAAATCGCAAATCCCTGTTGGAAGAAAATGTATATCCATTAGTTCAAAAAATCACAATCTCTGTTAATAATTTTTAAAGAAAACACAAGTCTGCTATGAACTACAAAACACATCTCTCTCTTAAGGACCAGGGTGAGTCTACTGTGAACAGTCATGAGATTATCTTATTTTAAAGTGAAAACAAAATTAAAAGTACCCCAAAATCTAACAATTAGCCAAGAACTAACTGAAAACCAGCTAATGTTTGTGGTAGTATAACCAGATATGACATTATTTTGCCCATAATGGTTCATAATGGTTACTAGGATCAATACTTACTATGCTGACCCAGAGCTAAAGTTCATCCAGCCTAGCCAACACTGTTTTGTAGGAATAATGTACATTTATAGGAAAAAAGCCTTCCTGGGACCATACCACCAGAATGGAGAACAAACCCCATAGGACAAGCTCTTAGGACAAAGACAACAAGCACAAACATACCCACAGATAAAAATAATGTTTTAAGCTGAGCATTCTGAATAAAATGCATATTCTGCTTGTAAAGAGTTCTCAAGTTATCCTTACTTTTTTCTTATTTTCTCTGCCTTCCCCTCTCAATTACCTAATACTGCAGCCCTAAACAGAGTTATACTCTCCTATGCCCATTTGACATCAATGGATTTAATGGGCATAACTCTGATTACAATTGCACTGCAAGTAAATGAACAACATACTTCCTGTGAATAGTATTTACATATTTAAGTTATTTTGACTTTTTTTTCCAAATCAGAGCTCAGTTAAATGACCATTTGAGGTCTCTGTGTGCCAATTCTATTTTGGCTGGTAACATTTGTTAAGTCATTATTTCTCATCAATTACTATATCATCATTAGTGTTCTCTCTAAGTTGAGTTAGTGTAAGCTAGCTCGGTTTTTTAGCCTCCAGCTCACGCATTTTTGTCTTAGCTCAGGAAGGATGGCTCCAGAGTAAACTAATTTATGCAGTAGCCAAATCACTTGCTCACAACTTTAATGCCAGTAGCTCACAAAGTAGAATTTTTGCTCTCAAGACTCCACAGCTTAGAGGAAGCATTGACCATCATTATACTGAACTAGAGTGGGGGACCCGCAATACTCACGGGGGGGGGGGAGTATTCCCCATGGCTCCCACATGGAGGAAGAGGAGGAGGAGGCCTCAGGTGAGCCCAGCAGGTGGGGCCACCCAGCCTGCCAAGACTTCTCCACCCCCCCTACCAGCAGCCATGGCGGCGAGCCCTGAACGGCTCCCAGCTGCCTAGCCCGCCAAGGCTTCCCCTCCTCCTGCACCAATGGCAGTAAGCCCTGTGCAGCTCTCAGCTGCCCGGCCCACCAAAGCTCCCCTGCAGCAGCAATGGCGGTGAGCCCTGCGTGGCTTCCAGCTGCCTGGCCCACCAAGGCTTCCCCCCCCCCGCAGCAATGGTGGTGAGCCCTGCACAGCTCCCAGCTGCTTGGCCCACCAAGGCTCCCCCCTCCGACACTGCCAATGGTGGCAAGCCCAGCCGCCAGTTCCGTGGTAAGTACATTCTCTGCGCATGTGGAGGGACCACTCTTTTACTTTTGGGAGGATTAAAGTATCCCCCATATATTTTTTCAACATCTCAGATTTTTCTGCACACCTGGGGAATGCCCCAAGTGTGCAGGAAAATCTGTTTACCCTTGATGTACCCCAGATGTGTAGATTTAGACATCCGCACAGAGGGGGCACCTTGGCTATTAAATATATAGATAATATGCTAGCTGATCCCCGAATGAAAGCCACACAACAGGACCACAATAACATAGGGGGCTCTACAGGCTCACCAGTTATGCAGAAAAAAAATAGGTTTTTGTAAATTAATTTTTAAGCCTCAAAAGTCAGCCAAACTAAATATGCTCCAAAAGGGGAATAACAGGGTAAACAAGCACCAATTAAAGGGGAGGGGAGAGGGAGAGAGCCTGTATACTCCAGCAGGGATGAGAACAAATCTTCTCACAGACCTAAATTTGTCATGAAAATCGCTGGGTCATGGTTCGCTAACCAAGGTTCATGACCATCCCTATCAATGACCCTCTCATGACCCTCCACATTTTTTTAGGACGTTCGTGCAGCTCATGGTGGGAAATGGGAGGAAGTGAGCAGTATCACTGATATGACTTGCATCCATTTCAGCCTAACAGTGGGGCTGGTCAGCCTGTCAGCTGTTATGCTGAAATAGATGCAAGCCATTTCAGCAATCCCTCTAGCTCCCCCCCCTCCAAGTGGAAGGGGAGCCATTTAAACCTGATGGGCACACCAGACCCACTATTAGGCTGAAATGGATCTGCATGCGGTGGGGAGGGGCCCTCCTGGGTGCAGGCTGATTCTGGCTGCAATGGCTTCTCTTCCCGCGGTGCACTTTAAACCATGTCACAGGAGGAGAAACTAACCCCAGGACCTGTGAGAGGCAGGAGGGTTCTCCTGGCTGCAGGCAGATCCTAGCTGCCATGGCAGAGCCCTTAAAACCCTCGGATTCTGCTCCCCACTGCTTCAAACCCAGAAGGTTACATATGGGGTGAAGCACCTCCCAAGGGCATTTCACCCTTTTCTTTCGCTGTCCCAGCTATCTTGGGCCTGCTCACACAACCCAATAAAAGGAACTGCCCCAGGCAGCCCAAAACAGCTGAGCCAATGCGGAGAAGTCTCTCCCCACCAGCTCAGCTGTCACACTTGGGCTCCCTCGTGCAGCCTGTTAAAAGGGGCTGTACCAGGCAACATAAGGTGGGGGTGAAGTGCCTCTGGGGCCAGGAGAAAGGTGAAAGGGAGTCCCTTCCCAGGAGACCCCCCACACACACTTTCTTCTGGTCGAGACTCACCACAGCCAGGAGTAAGGGAGAAGAAGAAGTGAGGAGATTACATTTATACCCCGCCCTTCACTTGGAGTCTCAGAGCAGCTTACAGTCTCCTTTCCCTTCCCCTCCCCACAAAAGACACCCTGTGAGGTGGGTGGGGCTGAGAGACTCTTTCAAGAACTGCTCTTTCAAGAACAGCTCTGACAGAACTATGGCTTGCCCAAGGTCATCCAGCAGCTGCAAGTAGAGGAGTGGGGAATCAAACCCGGTTCTCCCAGATTAGAGTCCATGCACTTAACCACAACACCAAACTGGCTCTAGGAAACCTAGGAGATTCCCTCCCCACTTTCTCCTGGCCATGGCTCGCCATGACCAGGAAAAGGTGACCCCAGGATGTGCGTGCGGTGGGGAGGGCTCTCCCAGCCACAGGCAGATCTTGGCTGCCATGGCTTCTCCTCCTGCAGTGCACTTTAAAGAATGCCACAGGAGGAGAAGCTCACCCTAGGATCTGTGTGTGCGTCTCCTCCTGTGGCATCTCTAGCCCTCAGGGGGTCATTCTACCCCATCACAAACCTCATGAAACAAACTGGTTCAGTAAACAAGGAGGTCCATGAAGGTTTGTGAGCAATGCTCCCACTAAGCTGTGGAATCCTGTGAGCAAAAATTCTACTTTGTGAGCTACTGGTGTTAAAGTTGTGAGTGAGCTATTTGGCTACTGCATAAATTAGTTTGGTCTGGGCCCCACATACTGTAATGAAACTCAATCTTCCTGGTTCATGTCCATCCCTATACTCCAGTCCCTGAGAGCTTACAGAATCTTGGGATTTCCAAATTGCACCTACCATATAATTCCCTACTGCCTCCCAGGCTGTCTTTTATAGAATCAGAAAGCAAATCTTTGGACCTGCCTTGTATTAAACTAGTTACCCATCTGGTTTTATCAATAACAACATAGGAACATAACAAAAGTCCTCCTGGATCAGACTAATGGGTCCCTCTAGTCCAGCATCCTGCCACAGATTGGCTAACCAGTTCCTCTGGAGGGCCAACAACAGGGCACAGAGTCCAAGACTTTCCCCTGATATTTCCTCCTGGCATTGGGATTCAGAGGTTGACAGACTCTGAACATGGATGTTCCCCTCTGTCACCATGGCTAGAAGCATGTAGAAAACATACAATGACCCTCTCATACATGTTGTAATCAAAAAATTGGATCCAGCTTTGTGGACTGGTGCAGGCTCAGGTCGATTGTGGGGTGAAAGTTGCTGAAACTGTGGTGGAATCACTAATAGCGATTGGCACTAACCGGGAAAATGAAGGTTCATTCCGGTTTGCAGTTTGTGAGACCCCACAAACCATAAACCTTCACAGACCTTCCCGTATACCAAAATGGTTCATTTCATGAGGTTTGTGATGTGGTAGGAAAGCCCCCCCTGTGGCCTAGAGAGATCAACATTGCACCGAGTCTCCAGCTGACTCTCCTCTTCAACCAAAGGGAGATCAGTACCCTTTTCCTTCTGACCCTGCAATCCTCAGCTTCTGGGCCTCCTGGGGTCCCTCTTTTTGGCCTGGCCTCATCTGCTGGCCTCCGTCTGACTCCCCACAGGCCAGTTTCCTGGAATTCCCGCCACTTCAGTCAAAAGGAGATTGGCCTCTTTTCCTTCCAACCCTCCTGGGGTCCCCCTTTTAGGCAAGGCCTCATCTGCTGGCCACCCTCCAACTGCCCCACAGGCTGGTTTCCCAGAAATCCAGCTGCTTCTATCAAAAGGAGAATCGCCCTTTCCCTTCTGACCCTGCAATCTTTGACTTATGACCTGGCCTCATCTGCTTGCCTCTCTCTGACTGCCCCATGGGCCGGTTTCCCAGAACTCCCACCAGTTCTATCAAAAGGAGAATCGCCCCTCTTTTCCATCTAACCCTGCAACCCTTGATTTCCGGACCTTCTGGGGTCTCCCTTTTTGGCCTGGCCTCATCTTCTAGCCTCCCTCTGACTGCCCCATGGACCAGTTTCCTGAAGTTCTGCAAAAAGGGCATAATCTACCCCTTTCTTCCACAAAACTCATATCTCCGCCTCCTCTCTCTCATGTGCCGCCACTGGTGTGCATCCCTCCTCCACCTCTCCTCCACCTCACCCAATCCAAACTCTTTCACAGTTTCCTCTGTGCCCCCAGGTACTACAAGGGCCACTT